GTAGGGCGATGCGAGGATGCAGTGCGTCGATGTCCTTGAGAAGCGAAGTTATTTGAAAAGAATCTGAATGGAACACTAACAGCGGCGTATCTTTATATTTCTCCGCGTGTTCTTTCTTCCTCTTCTCCAGTAAGAATCGTAGCCGTTCCTTCTTGTCCTGCCACACTAATTCCGCGCCCGCTTGCGCTTGTGCCACGAACTTACGCGTGTTCTCTTCTTCCTCGTATGCGAATAATTCCTTCAATCTGAATACCAAAGTATGGCGGTTAAAAGTTTAACAATTTGTTAACCTCTCACTACCAAAAGAGCAATAAATAAATAAATGAATACATTAGCATTTTCGATTCTGGTATCGGATTCGGGTCTGGTCTCGGTCAGTTTTAGTTTAATAGCTGTAGTAATTTTACTACGTGCTGTGTTAAAAAGTTTGATAAGATTCGATGTTATTTTCCCTGAAAATCTTACTAATATTATAATTGCAATTGTTTAGACGGATGGATGCGTGTTTGTTTGAAGCTATCTCCAGAACGGCTGAATGGATCTCGCTGAAATTTGGTAAAGATGTAGAACATAGTCTGGAAGAGCACATAGGCAATTTGTTAGGTTTTTTTAATTAGAGTTGCAGGCGACAGCTAGTAATATTATAAATAACAGAACCTTTCTTTCTTCACTTCTAAATCTTTCTGGTAAGATGCTAAGCAAAGATCGACTCTGCGTGCGACGTCATTAATAAGTGATCTGCGGAAATAGAATTCTACAATACATAATGTGTTCTAACGTAGAAATGTCATGAACCAAATCTTTTCCTAACCAATAATAACACTCTTTTTATCTTTCATTTTTTAACACATTCAATGCTACCGTGCTTGCCTCGCGTGTTCACTTTAATATGAAAAAATCATAGTGGCATGAAAAGTGTTAACATAATGATAGACATAAATTATCTAATTACAAATGTCTTTGGTAATGATGGTTCATTCTTACAAAGAAATATCGTATATTTAATTTGTAAATCTTACTAATATTATAAATGCGAATGTTTAAATGGATGGATGTTTGTCTTGAAGGTGTCTCCAGAACGGCTCAACCGATCTCGATGAAATTTGACAGATGCAGAACATAGTCTGGAAGAACACATAGGCTATTAATTAAGTTTTTTTTTATCCTGCGCGGACAATTTCGCGGATGACAGCTAGTTTGTAAATAAATTAATATTATAAAAACCGTATATATACTTGCGATCACATTTCATGAAAAACTCATTGATTGTCTGGTCTTTGGCCTCTTTAGCTTTGTTCTCAGCGCCTTTCCGTTGCTCTTCTTCTAATGCACGAAGTTTGCGCACAAATTTCACGTAGCGAAATGTTGAATTCAAAACACGTGATGTCTGATACGAACAAGTTTAAATGAATCTTATTATTATAAATGCGAATGTTTAGATAGATGGATGTCTGTTTAAAGGTATCTGCAGTACGGCTGCATGAATTTCGCTGAAACGCATAGTTGTAGAACATAGTCTGGAAGAAGACATAGGCTAGTATTTGTGTGTCTTTTTTAATTTCGCACGGACGGATTCGTCGCCAGTTATATTATATATAAAATAATGAACTTAACTAAGACTTATTACAATTATCACACTCATAAATTTTATAATATAAGGGAACAGAGGGACAAATCAAGACGTCTAAAGTACTGAAAAGCGTACAAAGGTAGAAGATAGATGGATGGCTCGTGTGAAAAAGGATATTTTTTTTCAGACGGGAATGCTTTATGCATACTCCGTGCTCCGGTAGTTATGTGGGATTCTCTTCCAAATGGGAAGCATACCCACTAAACCCCTCTGTTCCTCCTACGCATGATGGCGAGGTCACGGGCACGCTTACGCTTTCGCCCGCAACAATATAAAAGAGGATATGCATAAAGAGTGAATTCAGATATGATGGCTATTATAGTCGTATGAAGGAGTACATACTGTGCTGACTCCTTGTTCGATCTAAAAAACATGGCTACAAATAAATTAAAAAAAACTTACATAGTAACATTCCGGTACTCCTCTAGGTCCAACGCCGTCTTTGGGCACTTTTTGTCTTGGTACGTTAACTTCACACATTTTATTTACATAAATAAATTTAATTTATAAATAAAAATATTTCTATATCAAATTGTAAATATTTATTTATACGTGTCAGGTGTCAGAATTATTTGTTTTTGTTTTAGAAAATATGCCTTTCTGTATAAGTAAAGTTGACAACTACTTCGATGTTATTTTATCTATATAAAAATCAATTGCTGTTCGTTAGTCTAGCTAAACCTTGAGAACGGCTGAACTGATTTATCTTGGTCTTGAAATGTTCGTAGAGGTCTAGGGAAGGTTTAAAAGATAATAAAAAATTTAATAATTACCGGAAACTAGATAAGTTTTTTCATCCCACGCGGACGTAATCGCGGGCGACAGCTAGTTAAGCAATATTTCCAAATAATTTCGGAGATTTCCATTCACTGCCTTTAGTAAGATCCTTTTAAATATTGTTAAAATAAAAGAAATTATCATTTCATTTTTTTAATCAACCTTATTAAATATAAAAAAGAGATCCAAACACGTGTTTACGTGTGATGTATCAAAACAATAACTAACCGTGCGTTTCCACTGGCGAAGCAACACAAAAACATACTATTATATCAAAGACCACGAGATACATGAATATATTTTGTAAATGTTTCATCAGTGGAAACCCACAGTAAAAAGGCCCTTCTTAGTAAAGAAGTTAACATAGATAGAGACATTTTTAACACTTTCAACGCCACAGAATTCACATTTGTATATGATTTTAGTGGCATTGAAAGTCTTAAAAATATTATAAGAAATTGAACTTTCCCTAAGTTTATTTTTAATATTTAAACAACATTGTCAATTTTCAAAGAGAACACGTATGACGATATAGTTTTTGTACAGTCAGCTGCATAAATAAATATACATTCAACATTCGGTTTCAAAAATACGTATCCACATTCGTCACATGTATTAGGTCAGAACCATACGAACTGAGACATATGTATCAACCAGAAAGCGCATTCAAGATTCAAAACTATTTAAATCTTACTAATATAATATTATAAATGAAAATGTTTGGATGTATAGATGTTTGTTAGAAGGTAAGCAATCGGCTGTATGGATCTCAATGAAATATAGCATAGATGTAGAACTTAGTCTGAAAGAAAACATAGGCTAGTTAAGTTTTTTAATTCCGCGCTGAAGGAGTTTCGGGCGATATAGTGTATACATATTTATGCAGCTGACTGTACTTATGCTTCGGTAGAATTGTTTTGATAGTTTGTAACATTAATTTACTTGTATCTTGTACCGTCCATACAAAACATTTACTCCTTACGATTATTTTAATGGTAAAGAAATTTAAACTTATAAATAACAAAACACAGGAATATGAAGCGGTTATATTAGTGTGAGATGAAATAACCGTTCATTCATATTCAAAAAAAAAATTCTAAACAAAAAAATCTTAGGAATTTTTTTTCTCTTATTCGAAATAAATTCAAAGAGCATATAATATTGCTCAAAAACTAATAATATTTGTTCGTCAAAAATGCCTTAAAGTCATGTTACACAGCCATAATCATGTTAATCAACTAATTAAAAAAAAACTAGTAAAACTATCTATAAAATATTACTGTGGATTTCCACTGTTGAAATGTATATAAAATTATATTATTATATCTTTATTCAAAGATTAACCAAATATATCGGCAGTGGAAACTCACGGTAATAGCAAAAAAATAAGTAGAAAAAATCAACGTTGAATAAATCTCTTTGAAAAAAAAAACGAAACTATTTTCATAATCTTAATTATAAACAATAACAAATACTTATTAATTGTATTATTTTTGTACCTACGTATCAGGTGCAAAAAAAAAACAAAAAAAAAATTGTTAAACAAAAAACTATTGGATCTTAAATAATTAAGTTACAATTACACAGAATCAACAAAAAAAAATCATAAAATATAACAAAAAAAAAAACTTCGTAAACTTTAAAGCATTAATAAAGCCAAGTTTACATAATTTCAGCGATTATCCAGTGTTGGAATACAACTGAATAAATGTAGACACAATGGTTCAAGTGCGAGTAACATTTTTGTATTCAACCAGCACTGGATCCGCTGGACTGGAATAATGTAAACTGGGCTTTAATGGTTTTTTTAATACTTGCAGGATTTCTCACCTCATATAATATTAATATAAGAAATTTAACATTTTCATTGCCACCGACTCACATATAAATTGGTCAATTATCGTAGGATTCCACTGCTGAGACAATCGCATTGTCATATTGTAAATCCTTTTATTTATTACAATACTATAAGGCAAGTGAATTGTGGCAGTGGAGTTTTACGTTAATAGTTGAACATGTAGGCATTGCATGTGTTAAATGGAATATTACATAGTACCAAATAACCCCTTTCTCCCCTTTGTAATGTTCCTTACTTTTATATTTAATAATACTGGTTTGCGCAAAAAATATAAAAAAAAAAATGTTTGTTACTTCTTAATTTAAATTTTCAAGGGATTTTTATAACTCTATTCAATATCGAGGAAATCCAAAAACTTTTTACTTTTATTGTAAAAATACTATTAAAATAGAGATCAATATCTTTATAAACTTTTTTTTATATAAAAAACTTATTTTTTTTATAACAACCTCTTAATCACTGGTATAACAATACAAATATATAAGACATTTTTAACTTTATAATAATTTTTCAAATTAATACTGTTAATTAAGTATAACTGTACTCTGTAAGACATTTTAGTGTAGATTTTTCATATTAAATTAACACTAAGGATAGCCCTTAGTTAACTTTAAATATTGCAATAAGTATTTTTATGTGAACTGTACTAAATCTTTAATTTAATACATGTTAATCAAAATTAGTTCTTATTACTATGTTATTATGGTTATTTTTTTAAATGAAGGTTTAAAATATACTAACAAAAAACATTAAATTAATAATATTTAACTCAGGTTGTCCAACGATTACTTTACTTAAGGAACTATTAACTAACTCTCTGTTAATTAATTTTAAATTAGCACTGTTTGGTAGTAAATTTAATTTTTCCAATTTAATCTTTAAACCTTTATTTTCATTATAATAAGGTAGATTAGTGGAAAAGGGTTCTAATTGCCCTTCCCATGTATGCGGCTCGCCTGTCAAACTGTTGTACAAAGTTATTGAACCGTACTTTTTTATTAACGGTTTTGTTGATAATATCTGAAAATAAGACAATTCTATTCACTACATAACATAAAATAACAAAAACATTAAGACTATTTAAAACTGTACATGTTTGGATATTCCTTAAAAAAATGACTAAAAAAAATAACGCATAATATCCAGTATTTGATTTGGCACGTTACTAATAAGCGAACTCTTAAGTGCGGCGTGCCAACTTAAACATTTGATACTATATTTAAGGAAGCTAATGTTTTATACTAGATGGCGCTATTTCTAATTTCCTATAATCAGGACACGGATTTTATATAATTAAACGATGTTAAAAATGTACCTTAAAAATTTATTTTTAACTAAATAATTGTTTTTAACTAGTCAAACATTTATAAGCTTGTCATTGTCAAATCCCAACAGACGACCTCCATAAGCGAGAAACTCCGGAAAGAGAGATCTCTACAAGCAAGAGTCATTTTATATCCCAAAAGACAACATCTATTAGTGAGAAATTCCGGTGAGAGAAACCTCTATAAGTGTTTAAGAGTTATTTTTTGGTCCCAACGGATGACCTCTATAAGAATGAAACTCCAGAAATAGAGAAATCTCTATAAACGAGAGTCATTTTTAGGTCCCAAAAAACAATCTCTATAAGCGAGAAAAATATCGCGGTATTTTGAATTTTCGTAATACTCACAGATAATGTAGCCATACAGTAATCAGGATCTTGATACTTGACACTGAGTAGATACAACAAGGTGTCTTGCTGCAACACTTCGCTGCACCAGATCTGCAGACAGGTGAGATGACCAAGGTTGTATTTCAGCATCCATTCACCGCCGCAATCTTTGTGTATCCTTGTTGGATGTTTCTGAAAATGTTTAAAATATTTTAAATAATAAAGTATTAATAGCGCCATCTATCGAGTCCTAGGTTTAAATTTAAATCAGTTTGGAACTCTTAATCGTGAATTTTCAATTGGAGTAATTGGATATAAGGACTATAGTTAACTTTTTTTAAGAGATAGAGAGAGCGAGAATGAGAGGAAGGGAAAGAGTGAGAGAGAGAGAGAGAGAGAGGGATGGCAATATATATCTTACTTAATAACGTTAAAAATGCCAATGTTTGGATGCACGGACGTTTGTTTAAAGGTATCTCCAGAACGACTGTATGAATCTCAATGAAATTTGGCACACATGTAAAACATAGGCAATTTTTTTTAAATTCCATGCGGACGGAGTCGCAGGGTACAGCTTGTATATAATAAATATTGGCCCAATAGATTTTATTAGAAACAACTCAATATTGTTATTATACAGAAGAAGTTAGAATAATTTAAAGTTACCCTTAGCAATAACAAAATAAAACTACCTATATTTAGGTAAAAAAAATCTTTTGTAATTTAACAAAAAAAAAAGATTTTTTTTAATAAATGATGATATTTACCTCTTTAATGTGCCCTTCTAATAAATTCTTGGTTCCAGACCGAGAACATATCACACACTGTACAGTTTCAAAATCTTCCAATACATTCTGCACATCCTGAAAAAATAAAAAAAAATGTTTATAAACAGTAAATTAAAATTCTTAATCCCATTACTACATAGGTTAAATAATCTCTATGAAGGAAATAATATAAGCATTAGTAAAATATACATTTGCACCAAGATAAGCGAGAAACTACAAGTAAGGGTCATTGACCTGTCCCCACGGACAACCTTCACATGCGAGAAACTTGGGTTAGAGTGAAACCTTTATGACTGAGAAAAATATTACGATCCCTTGGACTCTCTTTTATCAAGGTTCAACAGTAATTCAAAATATTCATTACTCCATGCATTAAAATAGGTATAAAATAAAATATAAATTAGTAAATCAACCAACAACCTCTGAACAATTAAAATTACATAATGTTATTTTACTAATTAATGTATGATTAAGACCCTTTTCCACTAATGCGACTTGCATTTCTAGTCGCAAGCAATTCCTTTATCTATATCCAATGCATTTACCTCCAGTGGTATAGGTATAGAAGTCGCGTGCGGATTATGCTAGCAAGGCTATTCGTCTAGTGGAAATGGGGTCTATTTAATAAAATCCTATTCCCTCCGTTCCTGAAGCATGTGGTGAAAATACCCACGCTATTTCGATCGATTTGTCCAATCACTTGATCAACCAATTCAGATATATTCATAGAAGCACCTACATCTTCCGGAGAGTCCAGGTATGATTCCAACAGCTGCATAGCTTCATTGTTCTCTGGAAAATTAAACAAATATATCACTAGCTGTAGTCCGCGATTCCGTTCGTGCGGAATTAAAAAAAAAACTTATTTAGTAGCCTGTGACTTCATTCAGACTATGTTCTATATGTATGCCAAATTTAATCGAAATCCATGCAGCCGTTATGGAGATACCTTCAAACAAATATCCATCCATCTAAAAATTCGCGTTAAGATAGTAAGATTGCAGTCAACCAACCCGCACTGGGTCAGCGTGGTTGGCTATGGCCTAATCACCTAACTTAGGGTAGGCTCCGAGCCCCTCAGTGGGGACCTATAGCGAGCTGATGATATAACTAATTTTATTGCTTATTTTATTTTTATTTTAATTACATATGCTACTAAATATTCTGTATCCTGAAAATTTATTTGTGAAATACAGTTTCTGTTGGATTCTGAGACTGAAATCAACTGTTTAAAACATATTGTTATCTCTGTTTTATCAAAGATAATGTCAGGGATGACTACATAAAAATATTTTGGCCTCAGAAACGGGTATAAAATAGTACTCTTATGTTTATTCTGCTAAATAAAAATTGTGTGTAAATTCCTCAAATTATTAGTGTGAAATAATATTCAAAACCTTACCTTCAGTATTGTTGTAGAGATTTTGAAATCCAAACTCATCTGGGAAATCCGAAATTGTTTCTTGAATGTTATCCATACAAAGTTGGTTTTCTGGAAAAAAAATAATAATTAAACAAATTCCCATCAAATAATCGATATGTCTGTTTCAGTTTAAATTATTGGGGTGATAAGCGGAAATAAGTGCATAGTTAAGGTGCATTTCCACTGCTAACACATTCTCCTAAGGACAAATATGACCTTAGTATTTTCACAGTATGTCTAACTTGACTGTATGTTTCTAAATGGTAAGAGATTGGTATTAAACAAATTATATTATAAAATGATAAGCAAACAAGTGACAGCAACTGAAATAACTAAGCGCCTGTTGCCCATAGATATCCACAATTGCAGTAGTATTTCCCACGCTTATTGGACAGACGGGACCCATAGAAACAGGATATGTCTCTTTCAAAAGCAATAGGAAGTGTAGATGACTTCCATGACTCCTCCCGCACACACACTAATCAGACTATGCAGAATTGCTTCCACTTGACATGTTCTGTGTGGTCGGGGTATTGCAATGGATGAGCTGACACAATTATGCAGTAAATTTCTGTTAATACTTACTTTCCTTTTGGTCATTCTCTTGCATCTGAGTTACCCATGGTAAATTGCAAATATTAGCAAAAGCGTCAGCGAATTTCGGTAAATTAGTCTTTTTAATGTTCTCCTCACCGGTAGTATCAAACTCATTCTGCGTTGTATGTGTAAATCTATTAATATAATTATTTATTCTATCCATAAATCCCGGTGTATTTTCATTTAACATTGAATTATTTTCTATTTTAGGATAGACTTCGTTACTTTGATTAGCTGATACAAGTTCACGTATATTGGATACATTTTTTATATGTTCCTCAAAATATGATCCCTGACTTGTTGAAGGATAGATTATATTCATTATTCTTGTCTTTATTGGTGGTGGTATCTGAAAAGAAATATTACAAATTAGTTTTACTAATACTAAGAAATTCTAATTTTGTACTGTAATATCAATTATCTTAATCACATCAAATTAGCTCTGTCTACCCTTTCGGGTTATCTTACTAATCTTATATATAAAATTCATGTGTCACAATTTTCGTTCCCATACTCCGAAACGGCTTGACCGATTCTCATGAAATTTTGTAAGCATATTGAGTAGGTCTTAGAATCGGCTACTATGTATTTTTTATCCCTATCTATTATTTACAGTATTCCGCGCGGACGGAGTCGCGGTCGACAGCTAGTATAAATGTAAATGTTTAGATGGATGGATGGATAGATGTTTGTTTGAAGGAATCTCCGGAACTGCTGAATGGATCATGATAAAATTTGGCATTGATGTTGAACATAGTGTGGAAGAACACAAATAATAATTATTTTTTTTAATTCCACACGGATGGAGTCACAAGTCAATCACTTTATGCTCCTTAGACAAAACCAGAATAAAAAAAATAAAAAAAGCTGAAAATTGCAGGACACATTTTTAGTATTGATAAGAGCAAAGTTTTACTTACCACTTCATAAATATTTACTAAATCTTCTTCTACAGGATTGAATTCCTTTTGTATAACAATAGGAGTTATATCATTGTTTAAATTATAATCATTTGTGTTATTTATTTCACAAATTTGCTCTTTCTTTATCTTTCTTTCATCTTGCTCGTGCTTAATCTTCTTTTGTACTTTGTTTTTATTTCTTGGTGATGAATATGTTTTAGGTGATGCGCTTCTACCGATAAGACTTTTCGGTCTATATCGAATGAATAAATTCTTAAAACGTGGACTTGAACGCCTTGGTATGTAGGTGCGTTTTGGTGTTACAGTTATGGATGGGGAGAGCATTGACTTGTTCTGATTTTTGGGTTTTTGTTTGTCCTGAAATTAAAATTAGTCAGAATTTTACTGTAAATAGGAGAAATACTTTTAATGCTAAAACATTTGGACTTGAACATGAAAAAGGCAGTAATAGTGTAGTGTGGACAGTGATAGGTGACATGGAGGGGAAGAGGGGGATAGTATGGAGTATGTAACAAGTATGTATGTATGTACATTTATGGTTTGTGGCTAGATTTATTGACATTGGTGCATCTTATATATAACACAATAGATGGACTAAAACAGAGACTAAAGTAACATGGTTTAATTTTAGTTATTTTATTTTTACAACCAAAATGTGTGAGATTATATGATTATTAGATTAGTGCTGAAGAATTAATTTCATTTTTCCTTTTTATTCATTTTATTAAAAATTTAAAATTACTGTGTTTAAAATTTTTATGGTAGTAAATCTTAGCAAATTCTATATAGGTTTTATCAGACTATAAGCAATATTTTGTTTTTAGTGTTGCCATTATAATGTTGGTACAGATAACTTCAATTAAAATGACTAAAGTATTAATATTTAAATTTACCTTTAAATTTGATTTTTCTGAACTTGTCTTCCTTCGGGATGTTGTTTTTCTACCAGCTTGATTTTTACGTTCCAATTTGATATAATTAATTCTTTCATTCAATTCTTTCTCAGTTTTCACATTTTTGGCAAGTATAAGCTCCTTTAGATATATTTTCTGGAAATTTTAAGCACATTTTAGAAGTCTTATTATTAATTTTAAAATGGTTAATTTTAAATATTCTTTTAAAAAAGAAATAATTAACTATATAATACAAACTAATTTATTAAGCAAATATTCTAAATTTATGTTCTTAACAATCATAACAATATTATAATGCCTTGAATTTGTAAGAAACAATGTTTACTCATTTGTTTTTAATATAAGAAGCAAAAGATTATGATGAAGATGAATAATTAATCATAGACAACATACAAAGATTTACACAATAAATTAAGGTGAAAAGACATGAAACTTTTAATCTTAAAGGATGAAATAATATCATGAATACAGTACATAGGTCAAAGTGCATGCACTTATATGTTGTAGTCCAGAATAAATTATGCTGTGTTTGTCAAATAAATCAATATGTATGTCAATATTTTTGCGGCAATCCACAATTATTTGACAGCGTTTCTCGTTTGTTTTTCTTTAAGGCACTAATTTTTCAATCGCTTAAAAAAGATGGATAGATTTTTGCTAAAATTAACTTACATTCCTAAAAACCTAATTTAGGTTCTCAATGTTATTTAAAATACGTAAATTAACAAGTCCACTTACTTTAAAATTGCAGGGCAAATACAAGGATTTGGCAATTTGTTGCAATGCTCTGTAGGAACAATTATCTAAATATTCCCAAGAGTATTTCTTTTTGGTCTCCATAATACGATTTGATTTAATTTATCAAACTGACTTCTTTGAGAAACATCACCAAAATTCATTTAGAAAACAAATTTACTTATATTTATTCACAATAAGATGCATTTACCGTATTTCACCAATCAACTTTAGCAGCCATAGCGCTTTTTAGTTATTATTTTGGTTTAAAAAACGGCTAATTAACAAACTATTACTTTAAAATTGCTGTTATACGTTATAATTTTTACAGATGCAAGCGCCATCTTTTATTAAAAGTAGCAACCAGTCTAGGGAAGAAAATAAGTTCTTCCTTGTTTTCCGTTTAGTTTTTCTTAAGTTTTAAGATCTCTTATTGTATCATCGACGTCATACGATTAATAATTCCAACGAGTATTAAAGCTGATTGTTAGGCTTTTAATCCGTCTCAGAAATATGAATAAATTAATTAACAATTTGTATATCATTTTATTATTAAACCAGTTTATTATATTGTGATAAATCACATGAAGCCATTTTAAAAAATTTGGGACTTCAATTTAAACATATATATAAAAAATCATTTAAATCCCAAAAATATAACTATTGACGTCCTTTCTTAACAGTAATAATTTATACGTTATAACATTGTTCCGTTGTAACAAAAAACAGCTATTTTTGCGTTATTTTTTGTTTTTTATGCAAACAATAGCAAAAGTTACTGTCTTACGTCCAAACAATATCTACCTGTTATGTTTTACAATAACTTTAATATACATTTTGGAAAGTAATTAATAAAAAACAAAATCAGACTTGACTTTTATTGTTGTAATTTAATATTATATAGATCAATTATAATCTATCATATGAAAATTAATCTACTTGATTTATAACAACACTATAAGACAAAAAACGCAGTACCGTCAAATTTAATTTTACAATAATTATACAGTGGGTAGTTATCTGTTTGATGTAATGGAGTGAATATGTTTTTAAAAATCAGTCGTAATGGTTTTTTTGTTAACATACATATAACGTAAAAAGGTGCATTTAATTAATTATTTGCGGGAGTGGCTGACTGTATTTTTGATGTTTTTGTATTACTTTTCTAAATGGATGAACCGGGTTAGTGGTGCTGAAATCAAAAGAAAACGCATTTCATCATGTTAGTTAATATTATGTTTAAGATTTGTGGTTTGCGTAAATCTAATTAATTTTACTTTCTTTAAACGAAACGTGTAAACTCAACGGTTTTATGAAAAGGTGACGAAATTTGTAATCAGCGTACAATTAGGTAAGTATTTTCAGTAATTTTGATATAATTCTTTTAAATATTTTATAATAGTACCTTTCCTCCTTCGAAATATTTACTCTGTTCCTCATGGCATCTTTAAACGTGATGGCTTTCTTTGTAAACGGATTCTGTTTTTGTTCTATATCTTTTAATTCAGTTTCCTGAAATGTGGTAGATGATGAAATGCATATTATTTTTTATCTCATTTATGAAGATTAAATCCTAAACTTCAAATTTAAATAATATTCATAAATCATGGTTTCTATTATATCTTTCATTGCTTCTCAGGGCATGCGAATTTGTTTCATAATATTTTTCGATAAAACTTACCAAAACAAGATGATTATTTTTTATTTGTTCAGTTAAGTCATGTCTATAATCTAATTGTTTTTGTAACTCTTCATTCGCACTATTTAATTTCTTTTGTAATTCACAATACGCTGTTTTCTTAACATTTTTCATTTGTTCTTTCCTTTCTAGTTTCGCTTCGATATTTTGTTTATTCACGTTTTCCAAATGTTGTCTATATTCCTGAAGAGCTATCTGGAAATGTAGGGAAATATTTATATAATGGAGAATTAAGGTTAAATCACAGATATTAAAGAGAACGCTTAGCATTTGTCGTATCTTGAGTTTACACTGAACCCATAATCGGTACAAAAATATATTGATAGGCAAGTGTCGGTGGCTTAGTGGGTTAAACACTTGATTTGTAATCTGCAGGTTCTGAGTTCGAATCCCGTCATGTACCAATGTGTTTTTTCGATATCCACAAACACGAAAACATCGGATATAACCTACACATATCTGCGAAGAATTTCAAAGATGTGAGCGAAGTCAACCCGCAGTGTGACAGTGTGCTTGACTAAGACCTAGTCACCCTTAACTTAGGATAGGCTACGACCCCCTCCTTGGGAATAAATAGTGAGCTTATGATTCATAGATTGCCTTATATTTTTATATTAACTATAACTCGATGTTTATTCTAATTTTCGGACTGTCCAAGCTTAATATTAGCGTATTTTAATGAGATTTAGATTGAAAAAAGCCACATGCAAATTTCCGAGGCGTGTCGTACTCACGCCCTCTTATAATGAGTGTGCTGATGTTATGCAAAATATAAGAGGTATAAATTTTCTAGTTAACGCGACGCCGCGCGAAACAACGAGCTAAATTTGCAAACTTTATGAGCAAATTTAATACCCACATATCTCAATAACGTGATATTTTAGTACGTATTTTTAGTAGGAAGTTTTTAAATATCTATATTTAAAATCTATGTAAATTAAGAAAATGACAAATGAAATCTTGGATGTTGTACCTACACCAATCATTTCTGTGGCAGACAAGAGCAAATTTCATGTTGGTAAAGTTGCAGATGCGTCGCCTACCTTGCGACAGAAGATGTACAGAAAGAGAATATTTCCCCTGCCTATGTGAACCTATAAGAAAAGCGTAGAAAGGTTGACCTTCGGACTTACTTCTTTTTTATGTTTCCTTGCTTCGTCTTTCTGTTTCTTATGTTCTTCATTTCTTTTATCTTCATTTGTTTTAATTTCATGTAGAATTTTTTCACTTTGTTGTTCTAATTCCGCTGCCATATTTCTTTCTTGATAATGATAGTCGACGAATATTGTACTTTGTTTTTGTAAATTTCTCTGAAATATTGAATAAATCTTTATAGTAATTCCAAATCATACGTCATGGTAATATTAGAAATGAGAAATTTTGTGTGGATGGTTGGATGTTTGTGGCTACGTGTATCCAAAGTCGGTGTAACGGATCTCGATCAAATTTCACACAGATATAGAAAATAGTCTGGAAGAAGACGTAGTCTACTAAGTTTTTTTTTAATTCCTAGTCAATATTTTTATTTTAATTCGTCACTACTTATTAAAATTGGTTTTATTATAATTAATATACTTTCAAAAAAATGCCTCTAATGGTACGCGTCCATTGACCCTTGCCGGACACACCGCACACACGGCCCGCAACGGATTTTAGTTTGCTTTGTATGATTTTACATAGCGCTGCGTGCATCATCCACGCCGCCCGAATCGAAAGACAGAGCAAATCCGTTTAATCCTTGCGTACGATGCGTCCGGCGAGAGCAAATGGACGCGTACCTTTAGAAAGAATTACGTAGCTAGTAGTTATGAGTAGTAAAAGTCTTTATAAAAATATGTTATAATGCATACCATCTTTCTCATTTTATCTTCCTTCTCTTTTCTTAACTCTTCTTCTGCTATTCTTATATGATTTAAGTCAATCTCCCTTTCTCGATTCTTCTCATTTTTTAATCGTAATATTTTTAACTCGTGACCTTCTATAAAATTCAATCTGTTTGTCATTTGTTGTTCCCTCTTTTGTTTTATAGCTGCAATAGAAAAATGAACAATTGAAATTCTAATTTTACGATAAAAAATAACTAGGACGACTTTTAATTTGGGGTGTTTTTTTTGCAATAAATTACGCATAAAAATAGGTCGTACGTATTTAGAATAAACGTCAGATATTTATATTTTTATTCCACGAACTATTGTATTGGATAGAACAATAGAGCTATTAGTTTTTTTTTAATCCAGAGATTAAAAAATATTACATATATATCTTACTTTAATTACTATGCAAAACTTTAGTAGTATACTAGTCTTTCTACATAATCGTCAGTTTTCACTGCTGAATCATTTGTACAAAAAAATACATTCATTCATTATTTTTAGTCATTATTTTAATTATCTCAACTGATTTGTCCAGGTGATTCAGTAGTGGACACCTTTTTTTTTTATAGTGGGGAAATGCGTTACGCATACCACCGCGCCCTAAGAGGGGAAAGGCGCGGTGGTTATGTCGGACTCTCTCCCGGTTAAGCCGGAAGCCTACCGACTAATACCCCACTGTTTCCCTCGTCTCACCGAGCACCGGGACGCGGGCACACTGCGCGTATTCGTCACGCGACCCGATAGTGACTGACCACGACGCCTCCTCCACGACAGATTCCTCTCAATGCACGTGAGACGGTGCGTCCTCGCTACTCTATCTGAGTGACGGACTTCCCCTTAGTCCGCCACTCTAGGACTGCTAAGGAGGGATGAGACGGGCCCTTCTCTTTCCTCCTCTGCGGCGACTTCGGTTGGGGTCCTGGCTGGACGCCTCCCTCAGTCTCTCCGCATCCTCTTTCTGAGAGATGACCTCCTCGCAGAATGTTTGGACGGCCCTCCAGGCTCCGTCCGACTCCGTCATCCTCCGAACTACCGTCGGCAGAGAAAGATCCGGGCCCACTATCGCCACCAGATCTCGCCTTTGCAGCGCCCAGGCAGGGCACTCCGCCAGCGTGTGCTGAGCCGTGTCAGCAGGACAATCGGCGCAGTGGTGGCATTGCGCGGACGGCTCCCTCCCAATCCGGCACAGGTAGCCGCCGAAACAACCATGTCCCGTCAGCACCTGCGCCAGACGGAAGGTTACCGCACCGTGCTCCCTCCTCATCCATGCCACCAGAACTGGGCCGATTGCCCCAACCGTTCTGGCGCCAGTCCTCGGCTCGCGGAGGCGGCATTGCCAGCTGGCCACTGCCACTACGCGTCTGCTCTGGCGAAATCTGTCGACCTCGGCCCTGAGGGGCACGGATCCGCCAGTTCGGGCTCGGTCTTCACGCCAAGCGTGAACCGCCGCCAGCACTTCCGCCTCTAACACCCACGGCAAAGAACCGGCCAGGGCGCAGGCCGCCTCGTAGGAGATGGTCCGGTACCCTCTCACTACTCTTATCGCCATTGTCCTTTGCGGGCGGTGCAGGACGTCGACCGTTCCCCTGTTGAGGGCGCCGCTCCAGATAGGCGCGCCGTATAGGGCCATCGAACTGACGACCCCCATAAACAGGCGACGGCACGCCGCCTTGGGGCCTCTGACGTTAGGCAGCAAGCTGCCGAGAGCCGCGGCCGTTGGCAGAAGTTTGGGGCCTAGTTGCCGAAAGTGACCCTCAAAACTCCATCGACCATCCAGAACAAGGCCCAGATACCTCATTTGAGGTTCAATCCTTATGTCGACTCCGCCCACCGTAATGCACAACCCTGCGGGAGGTCTCCTCTGAGGACCATGGAAGAAGAGGGCCTCTGACTTCTGTAGGGCAACCTCCAGCCCTAGGGCCCGGATCCTCCCCACGACCTGGGCTACTCCCGCCGTGGCGAGGATCGCGCACTCCCGATGTGTGGCCCCACTCGCCGTCACAAGTGTGTCGTCGGCGTAGCACGTCACGTCGACACCGCGTATGATAGAGCCCCGCAGGACCCAGTCATAACCCACGTTCCAGAGAAGGGGTCCGAGGACTGAGCCCTGCGGAACCCCACAAGTGACTACGTGACTGCACCACCCGTCACGACCCCTGAACGACACAGTCCTATCAGCCAGGTAGTCGGCCACGATGCGGATCAGGTACTCCGACACCCGATGATAGTGGAGGGCCTCGACGATGCAACTCCAGGGCAGGGTGTTGAATGCGTTCGCGATGTCCAAGGACACCGCGAGAACGACCCTGCCCTGGGCGACTGCCTGCTACGCTATCATCTTAACCCTCGCGATCGCGTGCACCGTGGACCTGCCTGGTTTGAAGCCGTACTGCTTGTCGTCCAGGTCCGGACCGACTGTCGCCATGTGACGGGCGAGTGGACACCTACCTTAACTTATCTGTTCCTTTCTGAGACCAAAATCACTGTATAAAACATATCGTCATCCCGGTCATTATCTTTTACAAAATTGAAATAATATGTTTTAAACAAAGATTTTGGCCTCAGAAATCCACGATAAGTGTTTTATGAATAAGTTTTCTACCATTATAATAGTCCTGTTCCATTTTCTGCTTCATCTTCTCTAATCTTCTGTTTTCCTGGTCTCTTTCCTTTTGTAATGTTTCCCGTCGCTCTCTGTTCGCACTATATATCTGGTCATCGTATGCTCTTCTGCGTTCGCGCATTTCTTCTTTCAATCGCATTTCTTCTTTTCTTTCTTTCTCTTCCTGAAAAAAATCTAATTTTATGAACATGACCTATTTGGTTTACCTATAACGGAAAACGAAATTTTTTTTCTTTTTGTCTGTCTGTTTGTCTGCAAGACGATTTTGTTCTGGGTAATTACTGAAACAGTTGCCCCGATTTAAATGGAACTGTGATTTAAGTAGTTTGGTCTCGATATGCCCAGCAGTGGGCGTCATATGTCTGAAGAGAGAGAGAGAGGTCGAGGATATCTAAATAGTATTTTGTTTAATTTTTAAATTAAAACAAAAACTTTAGTTGTCTTGTACCTTTGTTTGTATGTCATTAATCAGAACTTGGTGCCAAATGTTATCCAATTTCTCCGCTTCTATTTCCATATATTTCTTCTCTTCCATTTGCAATTTCTGCATTGCTCGCATCTGTATATTATCCTTTCTTGTGTATTGCATACCATTTGCACTGTAATAAATTAAAACATTATCAACCGCCTGTATATCTAAATCAATCTGTCTACCGTCATCTTAGTCGTCACCTCCTTCTTTATCGTCACCTTTTACGCAAACTATCACGTAATAATTTAATTACACATCTTCAACGGATGCCCATAGTGTCGACTAGGTAACTAATGAATAATACTTACATTTTTTCTCTTTCTAACGCCCTTTTACATGCAATTACTTTCTCCTTTTCTATCTCTTCTTCGTATTTTTGTAATTTATTTTCTCTTCCTTTACAATAATCACAGTCTTTCATAGATTGCATTGTTAACAGTTCTTGTAACAAACTTTGTTCTTCTTCTTGTAATAGCATTTTGAGTTTTTCTCTTCTCTGTCATAAACGTCTTTCTTCTTGTGTTAACATGTCCCTTACTCTGTCTTCAACGCGATTTGCTATGGCCCTAAAATAATATCGTTGGTTTACTGAAGTGCAGTCAAAGAAATATATTCCCTTCCCACTAAGGATGCAATATTGCACTCTGAACTGTCATCACAAGAGCTATAATTTACAAGTTTTGGACGTAATTAAATTGTGAGCTAACATTATCACCGATGGGTCGGAAATAAATGTCCCTGACTGTATTGAATAATCCGTTCTTATAACTTAGAATGTTAAAGAAGTTTTTGTGAAAATACTTACTTTTGTAGATGAATAGTATCGTAGATTACTGTATCTGATAGTTTCTTCATATCGTCAATATTTATAGAAGATGCCAAGTCACAATGCTGTCGTACCTGTAAGGAGATTATACAGTGTGTTTCCATTGCCAAATTAAAAGTATTAAAACACTTATTGTCCCTTTTTTATCAAAGAGAATAAAGAGGGAAGACAATATGTTTTTATTATAACCATAAAAGTTCAGTTATTTTAAAACACAAACCGCACGTTTAAATGAAATTCACAAACACTGGCCACTTTTGAACAAACATAAAATGGTCAACGTACAAATATTATGAAACTTACATTCCAAAACTGAAACGGATGGCCAAAATAAACGGGACACTGTTTGACTTTGTGTTTCGCGGGGCCGACCATGATTGATTACTTTTTAGGGGTAAAGTTACGAATAAAATAAAGAAAATACTTTCATAAATGCCAGTTATGGAGTACCGAAAAAAAAATATTAAAGAAAATATGTTCGTAAGACGTTTGCAGTGCTGTGAGGATATTGACTAAATTTTAACATAGAAACCGGTCACTATGGGACTTGATTATTGATTCGTGTCGCATAACTACAGTATAGGTTAATTTCAAAATTTTCTGCTACATCCTCTCTATTCTGGTTTCCTGGTCCCCTTGCTGCCTTTACGCATTTCTTATATTATAAAAAATCAAAATACTCGGCATATAACGTGATGGTTCCTTAAATCTACACTTAGGGTGGTTTGCTATTGATCTGACAAAAAACTGAGTTTCTTATGAATAGATGTTTCTTATTCAATATTAAAACCCCCCCCAAATAAGGCTATTCTTATAAAAAATGTACTCCGTATATTTTCAATATAGGAAAGTGCTAATCTACCAGGGGTGCAGAAATAAACAAGGGGCTACAAAGGAGTTTATTGCAGTTACGAACACGCGAAGTTCAACGACCTTTTACGAGTGCAAGGATAGATTTATGGGATGCATTAAAGTAATTTCGTTAAAAGATAATAGCTTGGAAGTTAACGGTCAAGGATGACTGCGATAAAGGTGCGGCTAAACTGGATATTGTGGTTGAACACGGAACATTTGTGGATAATATAAGGCGATTTTATTAACTTCCAACCGCGAGATATTACAATAAGCTTAGTAAGTTACCTATATGTTTTTCAAGACTATGTTCTACATCTATACCACAATCCAAACTCTAGTATTTATAATATTAATAAGACTAGTAATGTAAACGTAGTGTTTGATAATAGTTCTTTGAAAGAAATAAAATGTATTTATAAATTTTGGAATTTTAGAAAATAATATCGTAATTCTACTAAACATGCTTATTCGCGTTACTAACCTGATAAAAAATTTTTAGGCAATGATATGAATGTCCGCTCTATTATTGTTTTAATCTCTTCAATTTAAATATTTAATTAAAATGAAGTGAAACTGTTATCATTTTCTAACCG